AGAAGTTCGCTCGAATTTGATATGGCCCATAAATTGTCTTAATATGCAAGTATTTTTTCGAGGTACATTTCATTAAGGACACCCATTCCCTAAGGGTTGAAATCCTTTTTTTATTTATCTGAGACGCTGTATAACTTTGGCACTTATAACCAAAACGATGAGGTGATAGTTTCTGTAAGAAATAATCTTCAATATAATCATAAAACATTCACTTTCACCGATGGAAAAATATTTTAAACATAATTATCCAAATTAACCATAGCAAAATTCAAGTTTCTGCAATTTATCGTCCGCCATGTTCAGAACCCCACGAATTTTTAAAGAATATCGAAATTTTTTTCGAAATCAAAATAATGTTCATTTAAAGCAACATATTTTCTTGGAGGATATTAGTATAAATATTTTGGACGATGATCCCATTACAAATGAATATTTGAATGTCCTGTCAAGTAACGGATTTCTGTCATATATAAACCGTCCTACAAGGTCCATCAGTGGCACATCGATCACTGCTTTGTGAAAGACCTATCCAATAAAATTACTTGTATTTCAATAATCCTATAAAGCCATATTACTGACCAATTCTCCACTATTTTACATATATCTTCAAATGAAAAACATTCTAACATCCCTACCGTTAGTAACAACCAGGATAAATACAAATATTTTGTCGAGAATTGAAAACTAATATCAAATGTCAAACAAGAATCCTGGGAACAATTTATTATACTCTATAAATAATATAGACAAAGCAACGGGACTATTCATAGAGAAAATAAAAAGCTAATAGATATTAGTACCAATAAAGTAAAAATTAGTCACAAAGAGAAAAGCAGAAATGCCTGGATTACCAAAGGATTAATAACATCGACAATAGAAAAAGAAAGGCTCTATAAAGTGATGAAACTAATTCCAACTACAGAAAATATCGACTGCTACCAATATAAAAATAAATTTAAAGAGCTTGCAAGGCAAACAAAATGAAAACATTACCTAAATAAATTTAATAATAACTTAAATGATCCTAGGCGGCTTTGGACAACTATTGATGAGATTACTGGAAAAACAAAATTTAAAGAGTGTGTCACTGAGTTAAACACAACATCGGGAACAGTAGTCAAAAATACTCAACAAATATGCGATGAATTTGTACAATTTTTTACTGACATAGGTGAAATCTTGGCAAGTAATATACAAGCAAATGTGCACAATACCCAGCTTCTGAAAAGATCTTTGAACTCATTTATTTTGGATAAAGTCGAGCAATGTGAAGTATACTTACATCACTGTTGTGTCTTTAAAAAATCGAAAAATTCCTGGGTTCGATGGTACTAAAAGGGAGCATTTGAAAATTATAGCCGAGGACATAACAGAACCACTCACTTACTTAATCAACAAATGCTTCGAATCTGGCATATATCCACCAATTTTAAAAAAGGTAATATAATACCGATACATAAATCAGGAAAAAAATAGATGTTAATAATTAACGTATAGACCAATATCAATAATATCCAGTGTGGCAAAAGTTTTTGAAAAAGTTTTATCTACTAGAAAAACTTTAAGTGAAAATCAATATGGATTTACAAAAGGGAAGGCTACATCGGACGCAATAGTTAAAATTGTAGATCAAATACATCAAAATATTGATAACAAAATCCCTTCTATCTGCATCTTTGTTGATTTAAAGAAAGCTTGCGACACAGTTAATCACAAATTATTATTAGAAACATTGGAGAGAATTGGTTTCAGAGGAAACGCGTACTCACTGATAGGAAATTATCTGTCAAATCGCCCACAATATGTCCAGATATCAGGATCGTTTAGCAAACAAATGTATATTAGGTGAGGTGTCCCACAAGGAACTGTATTAGGTCCTCTGTTATTAAATATGTATTTAAATGATATTTTCCAAATTAGTTGTGTTGGCAAAATAAACAATTTTGCAGATTATATTGCAATATTATATGAAGGCACTGACTGGTCTGATCTAAAAAATATAATTGAACATGATTTTATCAAGATTATTCGGTGGTTTACTAGTAGAAAATTAAGCATTAACTATTCTAAAACACATTTTTTCTGACAAATTACACCAATTTCTCCTTCACAAAAATAGCAAATTAATAGAGTACCGAACATAAAATACCTTGGAGTAGTCTTGGATCCTCACTTACGTTGGGACATCCATATCAATTATATTTCAAAGAAAGTTATATTTGTATCCTACAAAATTAAATATCCTGCTAATATATTGACAGAAAAATATTTTCGAACATTATACCATGCACTGATTGAGCCTCATCTCACATATGGTATATTAGCATGGGGAGCTGCATGTTTCTCACATATCTATAATTTAGATGTTTTCAAATTCTAAAAATGATGTTTAAAAACCGAAACTTTATCCCATTGACAAATTATACGCAGATGTACGAATGTATGATATAAGACAGCTTTATTTAAATTTGTCAATACCGACTAAAAAATTAAACATAATCATTATACAAGGTACAAAATTCGTGGCACAGTAGTTTCTCAGCCGCATAACTCTATAATGCAGCGGTCATATCTCTATTTAGCGCCAAAATTTTATGAAATTATACCTAAAGACTTGAAAGATTTACATTTCGGAAATTGTTTCCTAAGAAATTTAAAAAAGTGGCTACATTGTATATCTAGGACTGAAATTCATAAACTCATAAATAAGAACATCAAGTAAATACATATTCTACTGTCGCTGACTTTTGTCCTTTGTCATTTGCATTCTACAGTTGCAACTTAAAATTATTGGTCCATGTACAGGCAATGCCTTCTATAGGACCTGTTTTAATTTTATATTTATTTACTCATGTTGTTTGTTCTCTTTGTACATTGAGTGAATAAATATTATTATTATCTATAGAACTCTGATGTCTGATGTTCTCGGCGAAACAGAAAAATTGGCCGAGTATGCCGAGTACCGGGTACAAACCGAGTACTCGGTGCATCCCCGCATACAAGCGTGTGCTGTGTTCGCTGACAGGCGGAAGATGAGCGGCGGCCGGGTCATTAATAACAATTAATTAATTTAGTGGATATAAGTTACCGATATGCAATTGACGGGTGGCTGCGGCAACCGGCTGGTTCGGTCCGGCTAAATATCGCATCAATCAACGATTCGCAGTGGGCCGTGACAGCGGACAAGAACGAGTCTCCGCTGAAAATGACGCCCGCAGATATACGACCGGATAAATAACTTCTAGTGCGTGCAAGCCGCCGCCAGTTTTGCCGGCAAATGCGCTTGATGTATAAATCCGAAAATGAAATCCTATAAATCCGCCGGCGGATCTAGCTTGTCGCCGGTTGTTTTATGATTTTGATTATCGCCACTAATTTTGCCCGTCATGGCTTATATGAGCAGCCTTCTGGCTTATGTTTATAGCACAGACTACGAAAAAATACAGACCTTTTTATTTACGTTCGAATTTTTGCTGCTTTCTCCTCGGAAATTTGCCATGATGCATGTCCCTTGATGGAGGCTAGTAAGTCTCCGCAAAAATGCTGTCTATCTATAATGGTATTCAGTATTTATGATAAGTTAACAACCAACAAAGGCATTCATATGCACTTAGTGATATATCTTACATGACGTGATCAGAAAAAGTGATTTGATTCTGATGTCGCAGCAATTGACAAAGTCGCATACGTAGTTATCATTCGAATGTGTCATTGTGTTTTTGTGTTGACGGAGCAACCTGTTACTCGAATTTTCTTTTATTTATCTGCAGTGATTTTTTTGCGTATTTGTGAAATTAATAATGCCACTGCTACATACGTAACACTATAGCCGACATGCATACAAAGCAGAAGAACATGTGTCATTTCATAGGTAAGTATAGGTTATGTTTATGTTTTATTTTCGGTTCCCAATAACGTGGCTATTAATGTCAAACGCTAATTTGGATGTTTTAATGCTTTTTGCACAATGCTTACTTTACAATGTAATTTTATCAAATTTTTTTATGGACATCATACTATGCCCGTTATAGTTGTATCCAAGTTATGGGTGTTTTATTTTTCATAGTTAGTCAAATTAATCAAAACTTCATATTTTCTATGCTTTGCTATAATGTGTTATACGTCTAGATTATTTGATACTTCTGAACTGTACATATTAATACTATAAATCAAATCGAGCCCTTGCAGTAGCAACAAGATTCATACATTCATTTCTGAGGTACCTTAGTGACTTTAATTTGGGCTATTAAGTTAGTAATGTTTGTAAAGTTGAATATTGTCTGTTTTACCTAGACGCTGAGAAACCTATTCAAACGTCAAAGCGATTGCATGCTCTCATTGAAACAAAAAGAAATGAGATATATTTTATTGTACAAAATCAATGCATCAATACCTTTTCATACAAATATCAGTAATAAAATCCATTGATTTAAATAGTTTTTCGCAACACTACTTTTACAAGGCTATAAATAGACAGACAGTTTGCTCAGGTAGATAGAGACAACCTCCCAACTTGAAAAAATGGGGGAAAAACCTAGCTAATGAGAATAGGCAGTTGACTCAATCCAACAAAAATATATATGGTGACTTTGAAGTTGAGTCATTAATTTTCAGATAATGATTGTAGAAGGAAGATAAACCAAAATATGTGTGTAAAAATAAAAAAAAATTAAAAAAAAATGTTACCTTGTTTTATAAAGTATCCTCCCGACAAGTATTTCAGTGCGGACCTGTGCGCCCAAAAGCATGTCACAAAAACTGTTCGAAATGATTTCCGTTTTGCTCGACGCACAGCTGGGCGCGTCTTAGCCATGTCTCTTTACAAGCACGCAATAAAATCACTGGTTGATTTCTGATCACGGTACTCATTTCCTCAATTCGAGCACGTAATTCTTCGCGTGTATTAACCGGTGTTTTATACACTAGAGTTTTTAGCCAACCCCACAAACAAAAGTCTAAAGGATTTAAGTCCGGAGACCTTGGCGGCCAAGGTACAAAACCGCCACGGCCGATCCAACGATTATTAAATTGTCTATTTAAAAATTCACGCACATTTCTTGCATAATGGGGTGGTGCCCCATCTTGTAAAAACCACATGTTTTGTCTAATATTTAAAGGCACATCTTCCAGTAAACCAGGCAAATTGTGTTGCAAGAAATCAAAATAATTTTCACCAGTTAAGCGATTTGGTAATTCAAAAGGCCCCACTAAAATTCCATTAACAATTCCCGCCCACAGGTTGATTGGTTCAAATCGCTGTTGAAAATTGGTTTCCCTTATTTCATGGGGATTTTCAATAGCCCAAACGTGAGAATTACGTGAATTAATAATTCCGTTTCTAGTAAAGAGGGCTTCATCACTCACTAAAATTTGATTTAAAAAATTGTCATCATTTTGATGTTTATTTAAAAGCCAATTGCAAAAGTCAACCCTTTGTTCATGATCTTCCGGTTGTAAGGCCTGCACTTTTTGTATGTGAAACGGATAGAACTGATTTTCACGTAGAGTTTTCCAAGTTTTATACTGACTAATCGCCAATTGAGTTGAAATTTGTCGGGTGCTTACTGTTGGATCATCACTTACTAATTCTAAAATTTGTTCTTCTAGTTCTATTTGATCGTGCGGTCTTGGAGCACCGGCATGATCTCCTCTGTGAGGTCTTAAGTCACCTGATTCACGAGCTCTTTGCACTACATTAACAAAGGCACGAGGGGTTGGTTGCACTCGATTGGGAAACCGATCCGCATAGATCCGTGATGCCGCGGCAGCATTTTGTAAAGACTCCCCGTAAATAAGAACCATGTCCACAAGTTCAGCATTTTCGTAAACATGTGCCATTTTTGATTTGAGCCTCGCAACAGACACGATTATTCACTTACGCGTTACCGACTACCGACTGATACTGACTGTATACAACTGAAGAAAATAATTGTAAAAAGATCGTTCCAAATTCTTTCGCTTTTTTGTTTCCGATGCGATGAACGGATAAGGCGGATTATATCTGTTGTTGCCAAACACGAGAACATAATATCATTATTGAGACAGGGCGGTACTCAAACTTCCAAAGGGCTATAACTTTGTTACTTTAATTTTACCAGAAAAATGGTAAAGGAAAAAAACATTTCTTTTGATCAGATCTACTCACTGTTAAAATAAATGACTCAACTTCGAAGTCACCCTGTATATTAATACAATTTTCGATCAACAAACGCTTTTTTTTTCTATGAAGTGTCCACCCTAATACCTCTCGTAGACGTCAATTACAACAAGGCAGTTGAGGCCCAAAATTACAAAAAATCGTAAATTCATAAATTCAACATGAGTTTATCTGACTGGTCACAGATACAGTCAAACAAACCTACCTTAAAAAATAGGAAGAATTTCCAGTATCAAGGACATATCAAAGTGAAAAAATATTTTCATGACATATCTTTCCGCTCCGTGTCAAGCAATGTCCAATGGAATAGAATAATTACAGTTACCCCGTCAGCGAACCAAGAATGATGAGCTAGTAGACCGAGAGCTCGCGAGGGACAGTCATTCGTTATTTTATAAAATCTGTAATTTTCTTTGTCCATGTCCCAACACAGGTAAAAACGATCAGCGACTATAAAATTTGGACAGTGGTTACATTGGCTGGCAACAGTATATTTTATTCAGAATGATATTAGAAATGACTGCATGACACTTCAGAGATAAACTTTCGTCCCAGTATAAAAGCTGAAATTTATATGTTATTTCGGGGACCTCAGTAGCTAGACAGCTTGAATGGTGTGCCATACGCATTGCAAGTCTACCGTAGGTGCTAGCGTGACACAATATATAACAATAATAATAATAATAATAATAATAATAACAATAATTATAATGATAATTATAACGATAATTATAATGATAATTATAACGATAGTTATAATGATAATTATAATGATAATTATAATGACAATTATATTGATAATTATAATGATAATGACGATAATGATGATAATGATGTAATGATGATAATGATGATAATGATGATAATGATGATAATGATATATGATGCTAATGATGATAATGATGATAATGATGATAATGATGATAATGATGATAATGATGATATGATGATAATGATGATAATGATGATAATGATGATAATGATGATAATGATGATAATGATGATAATGATGATAATGATGATAATGATGATAATCATGATAATGATGATAATGATGATAATCATTAATCATGATAATGATGATAATGATGATAATGATGATAATGATGATAATGATGATAATGATGATAATGATGATAATGATGATAATGATGATAATGATGATAATGATGATAATGATGATAATGATGATAATGATGATAATGATGATAATGATGAATGATGATAATGATGATAATGATGATATGATGATGATAATGATGCTAATGATGATAATGATGATAATGATGATAATGATGATAATGATGATAATGATGATAATGATGATAATGATGATAATGATGATAATGATGATCTGATGATAATGATGATAATGATGATAATGATGATAATGATGATAATGATGATAATGATGATAATGATGATAATGATGATAATGATGATATGCTGATAATGATGATAATGATGATAATGATGATAATGATGATAATGATGATAATGATGATAATGATGATAATGATGATAATGATGATAATGATGATAATGATGATAATGATGATAATGATGATAATGATGATAATGATGATAATGATGAATGTGATAATGATGATAATGATGATAATGATGATAATGATGATAATGATGATAATGATGATAATGATGATAATGATGATAATGATGATAATGATGATAATGATGATAATGATGATAATGATGATAATGATGATAATGATGATAATGATTGATAATGATGATATGATGATAATGATGATAATGATGATAATGATGATAATGATGATAATGATGATGATGAATGATGATAATGATGATAATGATGATAATGATGATAATGATGACAATGATGGTAATGATAATGATAACTGTAACGATAACGATAATGATGTAACTATAAAATGCCTGCTATTAGCTGTTTTACTATCAACCACGGCAAAAATTACAGAAATAGCTGATGGTACAAATAGGCACAAATACAAAATAGAAATGGTTGTTATAAAAACACAATAAAATATTCAAACATCTAAAACTAAGTCAAAAAAATTAAGAAATGGTCAAGTAGTCGAAGCATTGGGCGCTAAAACATGCAGAAACATCTAATTAAGTTGTTCCGTCAGAAAAGATTTACAACAATATGCACGTATATATAGGATATTCTATCAATGAGTGGAACTGAAGTCATTGATTTTATTCCTGAAAGATTTTTTGTTGGAGGAAACATCCCAAAATATGTCCACATAACACAAATTCAAGTTGTGGCATTGGTTTCTAGACAGCTTACTATATAGGTAGATCGGTTGTCTTAATAATAAAAATGGTTTGGAGAGATGAACATATATTCATGCGGATGAGGGTGTAAGAGAGATGAATAAGTTACAACAACTTGAAGCAATATTTGAACATGTGCGCTTTTCCTTTCACCTTCATAATCAACATCGTATTGATTTGACGTTGTAAAGATCATAATCAAAGACAAAGAAACAACCATGACTTTTCTGTACCCTTAAACAGCTACGTTTTCTATTGAGGTTCACGAATTTTCGAGCAACTGCCAGATCCATCATTAGCAGAATCATATGAAAGTCAACTTGCCCTGAAACTGACCTTGCGAGGGTCATGGTTTCGATCAACACGACATCTACCAACACCTTCCTACAAGGTGATTTAACGAAATATTTCTTTTAGTATATTGATTAGCCGAGTTTTTGGCCCGAGAGCTACAATCCGCACATTCACCATTTTTGCAATTCAGGCAAAGTTTATCCACCTATTTCTCAGAAACTAACCATAGGAGTGCTATGAGCCCATTGACACTTTTTTTTCGGAAAGCCAAGGAACATATACTGAATTTTTGAACAAATCGACTGAGACCCATTTTCCATATGTTATGTGTCTGGTCCTTTTAGTTTTTATATGATGACGAAAGTTTAACTCTGATTTATTAAAGTTTAGGGATATTGTATAGTTGGGGACATGCAAAGAGAGATTCTTAGGTTTAATAAAATCACGAAGGGCTGGCCGCCGCGGGCTCTTGCTCTATAGAGGTGGAAGTCGTGGGACTGTTCAGCCGTCCTCGTAAAGAAATATCGGCTTGTCACGGACAGTTACAGGGCCAACTGCATGACAGCTCCAACTTCGGGGAGTTTCTTTTGTAATTTCATGTTCACAGATCGTTGGTACCAGTGGCGTGCTGAAACGTTCCGATTACGAAGACTAGAGATAGGAGGTGATGCTCATAGAGTGAGGGTAAAGCCAAAAATCTCGACCATGAAGTAAGTCTGGGCACTGCGTAAGAAATTAATTTCAGGTGATGCACATTGGATTCTCTTTCGGGTGTACCTTGCGCAGTAAATACATTTCAGATTGTGCGAATGGGACATCTCTCTGTTGCTGCCATCATAACTGTAAACTAGTCTAATTTTGACAGTCCGGACTAGTTGCAAGCAGAAATATCCACGGCGTCGTCTTACCCTTCTACGACCATCGTGCGTGCCTAGACAGAATCGCGATTCGTCGCTGAAGATGACATTGTGCCATTCTGCCTCCCAATGTTACCGTTCTCTACTCCAGTTCACACGTTGGTGACAGTGGTCCGCAGTCAGAGGAAGCACTAACTGTGGACGGTATGAAAAAAGTCCAAAGGCTCGAATACCTTCTACTCCAAACCATTGGTCAGCGATCTGACCTGTAGTAGCAAAACGGTCCCGTAGGGCTAGTTGTCTGAAGCGCCTATCTTGATACACTGTGGTACGCCTCGGTGAACCAGTTGGCCTTATTCGTATTCCTTCACCTTCTTCCATCCACACACGGACACACACTGCAGTATAATTGACACGGCTGCCAATTTCGCTATAAGACAGACCAACATCTCGATAGGCAATAAT